CCCCTCCCCAGCCTCGAGGTCCTTCACCGCAGGACCCGAGGCCGAGTCCTCTCCCCAAGCCCCGACCCCACAAGACAAGGACGGAGCAGCCGGAAAAGCTGGAGGAAGGGGGGGCCCACTGGTCAGACCCAGAAGCTTCGGCCGGGAGACAAGACTCTAATGCCTCTGCCGCCCCCCTGGAAGGGGCACCCCCCGAAGCTGCCCGAGTCTCAAGATCAAGTAACCCCTGCTCCGACCCCGAAACCCTCAGACGCTTCAGGGCCAGAAGCAGGGGGGAGGGGACCAGAACGAACAGAAGGGGAAGGACGAGAAGGTGCGGACTGAACCAGGATCGAAGCGAACCCCACCCCCAAGTCCGGGTCTCGAAAAGTAAAGCGGGGCAGCCCCGGGGCATCCGGGTGAGCAACCAACCGAGCGCGTTGCAACAGACGAAACCTAGACTGCAACGCATGCGCCGCCTGTACCCGAATAGAATCATCAGAGGATTGGGTAAATTGAGTCACAAGCAAGCAGCAACACTCACAGGACTCAGGGTCGAAAGTATCACCGACTCAACAGGCAGCGTGGCAGAGGCAAAAACAATGAGGGGCCACCCTGAGACAAGGGGACCGAGCAACCCTCAAACTCGCACACAGCGAGTGGGGACTCCAGGGTCACATCCATCGTTCCCACGCGCCCCCTAGGGGATTCCCAGGGTCCTGAGCGTTTACTTTAAGAGGACTCGTGCTCAGGTAGTCCCAGGCAGGGTGCTGCAAACCGGCACCCAAAACTACCAAGCAAACTTCTATAGCTGAACCCCAGGGACATGTACACTCACTGGGACCTAGCAGGGGGTGCCACCGAGAACAGTGGAAGGGCAAAAACAAACTGAATAAAATGACAGAACCCCCCACCAGGCAAAAAGAAAAAGAAAAACAAAACCCCGCAAGAGAACAGCGAACCCCAAGGAACAGAGCCGGCCGTGATGTCGGGAATACAAGCTGTGCAGCACCCTGCGCCCCTACCAGTGCAAACTGCCTCTTACCTGCCGGTAACAAGGGAGAACAGAACACCCAAGAGCCCAACAGGCGGCCGAAAAACCGAAAGGTAAAACGGACCAGCAGAGGCAGACCCCGAGGGCCTGTGGAAGGTGGCCCCAAGGGCAGTACTTACAGGGCACCTAGGGAAGGCAGCCCTAGGCGCATGCAGCCCGAGTACTGAAGATAACTCCTGGCTCTCGCACCCACAAAACCAACACCACACGCAAAGCACAGTGCAGTAGCGACACCGGAGCCAGAGCACACGACCATCGCGTATAGCATCAGCCTCAAGAACTGAGGTGTGGGTAGCCGGTGTGGAGGGTCTGGGGCTCCCCCTTCCCCCTCCCGGGGAGGGTGGAGCTGCGCAGACAGCGGCGCGGCAGTGTGTGACGTCACACTAGTTTGCTTGTTTTCGGTTGGGGAGTTCTATCCACTAGTTCGGCTCTTGGTAGCAATTTTAACCAGAATAGGGGTTTGTTTTGAGGCGCTTACCTTTCTGAGTGCCTGTTCCGGTCGATGGCAGACACAGAATGCTTCCAACCACACGGGGGCTTCTATAGGCCATTGCTCCCCTTGCCTCTCTGAGGGGGCCCGGTTCTGGCCGTGGTCCCCGGTAGGCCTAAGAACTCCATACACATGACTGATGCCAAAGTCTGACATTAGCATATCAGCCTGGGATAGCTCCGGGGAGCCGACGGGACTCCCCCCCAGAAAAGTTCTTTCTAATATCTCTGTGGCTCATTTGGGCGCTCAGTTTCTACCTATGTCCCCTAGTGCGTGTGCCCCTTGTGTTAAATAGCAATGTCTTTATCTACCCTATCAATTCCCTTGAGAATCTTGAATGTGGTGATCATGTCCCCCCTAACACTTGTCTTTTCCAGCGAAGTGAGGTTTAATTCCCGTAGTCTCTCCTCGTAGCTCATACCTCACGGCTCGGGTACTACTCTGGTGGCAAACCTTTGAACCTTTTCCAGTTTAGTCTTATCCTTGACTAGATATGGACTCCATGCTGGGGCTGCATACTCCAGGATTGGCCTGACATATGTGGTATACAAAGTTCTGAATGATTCTTTACACAAGTTTCTGAATGCCGTTCATATGTTGGCCAGCCTGGCATATGCCGCTGATGTTATCCTCTTGATATGGGCTGCAGGAGACAGGTCTGGCGTGATATCAACTCCCAAGTCTTTTTCTTTCTCCGACTCCTGAAGAATCTCATCTCCCAAATGATAACTTGTATCTGGTCTCCTGCTTCCTACCCCTATCTTCATTACATTACATTTGCTTGGGTTAAACTCTAACAACCATTTGTTCGACCATTCCTTCAGCTTGTCCAGGTCTTCTTGAAGCCTCAAGCTGTCCTCCTCTGTCTTAATCCGTCTCATAATTTTGGCGTCATCAGCAAACATTGAGAGGAATGAGTCTATACCCTCTGGGAGATCATTTACGTATATCAGAAACAGGATAGGTCCGAGTACAGAGCCCTGTGGGACTCCACTGGTGACTTCACGCCAATCTGAGATCTCACCCCTCACTGTAACTCTCTGCTTCCTATTGCTTAGGTACTCCCTTACCCACTGGAGCGCCCTACCAGTTACTCCTGCCTGTTTCTCCAGCTTATGCATCAACCTTTTATGGCGTACTGTGTCAAAAGCTTTCCAACAGTCCAAAAAAATGCAGTCCACCCATCCTTCTCTTTCTTGCTTAATCTTTGTCACCTGATCGTAGAATTCTATCAAGCCTGTAAGGCAAGATTTACCCTCCCTGAACCCATGTTGATGGGTTGTCACGAAGTTGCTTTTCTCCAGATGTGTTACTTGGATTTTTCTCACAATCTTCTCCATCACCTTGCATGGTATACAAGTTAAGGACACTGGCCTGTAGTTCAGTGCCTCTTGTCTGTCACCCTTTTTGTGTATTGGGACTACATTAGCGGTCTTCCATATTTCTGGTAGGTCTCCCGTTTTCAGTGACCTACTATACACTATGGAGAGTGGCAAGCAAAGTGCTCCTGCACACACTTTCAATACCAATGGTGAGATTCCATCCGGACCAACAGCTTTTCTCACGTCCAGCTCCAATAGGTGCTTCTTGACCTCATCTCTTGTAATTTCGAACCTTTCCAAGGTCGCCTGGTTTGCTGCCACATCTCCTAGCGCCGTGACTTCTCCCTGTTCTATTGTAAAGACCTCCTGGAACCTTTTGTTGAGTTCTTCACACACCTCTGTCATTCTCTGTGTACCTGTCCTCGCTCACCCTAAGTTTCATCACCTATTCCTTCACTGTTGTCTTCCTCCTGATGTGACTGTGTAGTAGCTTTGGTTCGGTCTTGGCTTTATTAGCTATATCATTTTCATACCTTTTCTCAGCTGCTCTTCTCACACCAACATACTCATTCCTGATTCTCTGGTATCTCTCTCTACTTTCTGGTGTTCTGTTATTACAGAAGTTCCTCCATGCCCTTTTGTTCAGCTCCTTTGCTTTCATACATTCCCTATTAAACCATGGATTCTTCTTTTGCTTCTCTGATTTTTCCTGTCGGGCTGGGACAAACCTGCTTACAGCCTCCTGACACTTTTGGGTGACATAGTCCATTATGTCTTGTACGGACTTGGTTCTGAGTTCTGTGTCCCAATGGATATCCCTTAGGAATTTATTCATCTCCTCATAGTTTCCCTTTCGGTACGCCAGTCCTTTGATTCCCAGTTCTTTTTTGGTAGTGATAATTCCTAGCTCAACCAGGTACTCAAAGCTCAATACACTATGATCACTTATTCCCAAGGGGACTTCCAACTTAACTTCCCTTATATCCGACTCATTTAGGGTAAATATCAGATCAAGCAAGGCTGGTTCATCCCCTCCTCTCATTCTTGTCGGTCCCTTGACGTGTTGACTTAGAAAGTTTCTTGTTGCCACATCCAGCAGCTTAGCTCTCCATGTGTCTGGGCCTCCATGTGGGTCTCTGTTCCCCCAATCTATCTTGGGTGGGACATGGTGGGAATGGGGGAGGGGTGACAGGGTCAGAATGGGGTGGGGGGGGAGGGAGGGTTGGGTGATTATTTGGGTGGGGGCAGGTAGGGTGAGGGGAAGGGAGGGTTTCTATGCAGAGGGGGGTGGTGGTGTTGCCCTCCCCTCTGGTGTTCCTGGGATGCTGGTTTTGGGTTCCCCTCTTGTCTCTGGGACTGTTGTGTTGGGGGCCGCGATTTCCTGGTTTACTCCTCTCTCCCTGCGCTTCCTCCTTGCCTCTGCTGCCCTGGCTCTCTCCTCCTTCGTCCTGTCCCTCTGCAGGAATACTTTTTTGTATCCCTCCACATACTGCAGACGACTCTTCCTTTCGAGAATATCCTCCTTTGTGGCTTCGTTTGTAAACACCACCTTTACAAGTCGGTTTCTGTCCTTGTTGTACCAGCCCAACCTGAAAACCTTCTCAATGTTTTGTTCAGCCCCTTCCATCTGTAACCCCTTCAGTAGCCCATGTACTGCCTCTCTATCCTTGCTATTCCATTCTTGCCTGTTGGATCCTTCCTGTTCTTTGATGCCTACAACTACCACTGATCTTTTTCTCTCCAGCAGCTGACTGGTGTACCTTGCTGCACCCCCTCTCTCTCTGTCTCCCCTCTCACTCTCTGTCCCTCTCTCTTTCTCTCACTGTCCCTTTCTCTCTTTCTCTCACTGTCCCTTTCTCTCTCTCTCTCTCTCACTGTCCCCCTCTCTCTCTTTCTCTCTCTCTCTCTCAAGCTGTCCCCCTCTCTCTCACGCTGTCCCCCCCCCTCTCTCTCATGCTGCCCTCCCCTCTCTCTCATGCTGCCCCCCCCTCTCTCATGCTGTCCCCCCCCCTCTCTCTCATGCTGTCCCCCCCCCCTCTCTCTCATGCTGTCCCCCCTCTCCCTCTCTCTCTCTCTCTCTCTCTCTCTCTCTCTCTCTCTCTCTCTCTCTCTCTCTCTCTCCCTCCCTCCCTCCCTCCCTCGTCACACTACCTACCCAAAGCGGTTCCTGTATGGCCTGGGTCGTCGGTCATCAGAGTCCGGGTTATCAGTGTCACTGGAAGACTCGTGCTCATAGGCCCGCCGATCCTTCCCCGAAGCCATTATGCCATCACGCTCTGATGATGATGGTGCTGCTGCTGCTGCTGCCTCACTACTGCAAAGCACATAAATATAAGTAAATTTACTTAATTTTATTTTTGCACAATACTAGGTACCTCACAACTGTGCTGTTTAAGCAGTCATAATTGTGAGAAATTGATTGTTAACTCACAATCAGAATCTACAAAATGACCACCTCTAACATACAGAATGATTAATGTATAAAATGACAAACTTCTTTAGACAAGACCTTTGCTTGCCAAATAAGTCTTCAAAAGGTCAGATGTAACACAAACAAGGAGCAACGATTTCAAGCTCAACAAGCCACAATGTAGGACTGAGAACAGGAGATGCATTTTCACCCACAGGGTTATTAACCAATGGAACTACCTACCTGCCAAAGCCATAAATGCCAAAACTCTGTGAAACTTTAACCCTTAAACTGCTCAGTATAAGAAGGGTATAATTCGAAAAATATTTGAATTATGTAAAAATTACTTAAAAATGTTAAATCTCCAACTTATTGGCTTCAGCTTCATGAAATTTTCATCAAAATATTATCAGAAATTGATTTTAGACAAATATTAAAAAAAAAAATGTTTTGTTGATAAGGAGAACAGCTCCTATTAACTGGAACTGATGGATAATGCAATAATAAAGAGTTGCAAGCACCTGTCCGATGCACAAAGAAGAGGAATAGTAGTAAGAAGTGTCCACAATGTGTATATGAAGCTGGTGCCTTTATAGCATTGGTGAGTAATACATAACACAAATAATGAGTATGCATGTTATTATGCTCAACTTTGTTATATATCATATAAAAACATTGCCCAATGTTGTTATCAGTTACTTTCAACAATGTAAAAAAAAACAGAGTTGAATGTAATGAAACACCATTATCTGGGGGAAGCCCCATCGGCTCCCCGGAGCTATCCCAGGCTGATATGCTAATGTCACACTTTGGCATCAGTCATGTGTATGCAGTTCTTAGGCCTACTGGGAACCACGGCCAGAACCGGGCCCCCTCAGTGAGGCAAGGGGAGCAATGGCCTATAGAAACCCCTGTGTGATTGGAAGCATTATGTCTGCCATCGACCGGATCAGGCACCCAGAAAGGTAAGCGCCTCAAAACAAACCCCTGTTCTGGTTAAAATTGCTACCAAAAGCTGAACTAGTGGATAGAACTCCCAACAAAAAACAAGCAAACTAGTGTGATGTCACACGTCGCCGCGCTGCTGTCTGCGCAGCTCCCCCTCTCCAGGAGGGGGAAGGGGGAGCCCCAGACCCTTCATGCTGGCTACCCACACCTCAGTTCTGAGGCTGGATGTCAAAAACACGAAAAAAAATGCCGACCGGAGGGAGGGAGGGAGGGATGCCGGGGAGCCTCCGGGACTCACCCAGAAAATGGCGTTTCATTACATTCAACGCTGGTTTTCTGGGGGGAGCCTCGTCGGCTCCCCGGAGTTAACTACCCACAGACGGAAAAAAGAGGGACTTACCCGGGAGGCGGTCGTTGCTCACTCCTTAACTCGAAGTCAAGACAACTGGCTGCAACCACCGACCCAAAGCAACACAGGCCCGACGGGGCCCAGCGACATTCACGAGGAAACGAGCAGCTAGGACCCTGTTCGACCGCCAAAAGCCCTGCATCCGAATATCAGACCAAGACATATTCCCAAAGACGACAGCAAGAGCCGCAAACTTATGGATGTCATGGGCACGGGGATAGACCATAGGCTGGCTGGATTTGATAACCCTGAGGACGACCTGGGAGACCCGAACCCGCGAACAGGGAAGAAGGGAAACCGGATCGACCCAAAGCGCATCCCCCGACACAGAAGCCGTGGCGCACAAATAATCGTGAAGCGCCGCAACCGGCCACAAAGCATGATGCACCCCCCGGCCGTACCAACCAAGCATCAACCACCCACGGACCCCTGTGGAACTCAGCAGTCTCATTCTTCGCCAGAAAAGAAGGAAACGGCAGTAAGCGAACAAAACAATCTCCATGACCAAAAGAGCAGAAACCCCTACACCGGAGGAGAGCATAAAGCTCCCCGGCCCGACCCCCAGAGGCTAATGACAACAAGAAAAGAGCCTTGGAGAAACAATCCTGGACCGAAGTGGCCACAACGAAATGAGGAGACGAAAGGTAAGCGAGCACTCTGTCCAAAGACCAGGATGGCTCAGGCGGCGCATGAGCAGGCCGGAGATGAAACAAAGCACGAGACAGCTTGTGAAACGGCGCAGATGTAACATCGATACCGAAGGCAAGCTGAAGCGGCTCCGCCAGCATTGCACGATATGAGGCGACAGTGTTAGGCATAAGATGATGGTCTTGAAACAACCAAGAGAGAAAGGACAAGACCACCCTAACAGACAACGAACTAACATGACGAAGACGCAAAAAGAAACAGAAAGACTGCCAGGAAACTTCATACTGCCGCTGAGAAGAAGCCCTCAGCTGGGACACCAACAAGGAGAACCACCTAATCACCATAGAGATGATGATAGACTCGAGTCAAAAAACCCATACGCGAAGACTCGAGGAGGAGATCGAACCAGCCACGTGATGTACCGGCCCGATCTGCTGACAGAGGCGGAGCCGCGGGAAAACCCTTGGGTTCAAACACCGAGCAAGCAGCGCCTAAAACCAAGGCTGGGCCGGCCATCAAGGGGCCAGAAGGACAACTCTCCCGTGGTAGGTCTCCAAGCGAGTCAGGACCTGGAGCAACAGCCAAACCGGGGAAAAGAGGTACAGGAACCCCCACCTCGTCCAGTCCAGCCGAAAGGCAGCCAAATCGTCGATACACGAGTGACCCGATTCCTCTGAAGAGCAAACCACACCGCCGCGAACTCCCGCGCCGTGCTGTGAGCACTGGTCGCAAAGACCCAGCCGAGAGACGACGCATCCGCGTACACATCGAGTGAGGACTCGGGTAGGCGCCATGGCACTGAACCCCGAAAAACCCGATGAGGAAGCCGGCGACGCAGCAGCCGACGCAAGGCCCCCAGGGGTCGAACCCAGCGATCGCCAGAGAGGCGGAAGGGGCGACCCCAAAGGAACCAGAACAGCCAACAAAGCCAAACCTGACCTGGCGGGTAGACCACCATCGCGAAGTTCAGGCTCCCGCACAGCCCCTCGAGCAACCGCCGGGTGACCCAAGGGCCCACCAGAAACAGACGCAGGCGGGACCGTAGCTGCAGGAGAGACTCAGGAGGGAGAGACAAGGAAGCGGTCCGAGAGTCCCAAATGAGACCCAACCAAGTCCGAACCTGAGAGGGGACCAGATGGAACTTCCTCCAGTTCACCAAGAACCCGAACCGGGCGAGCTGGGAAAGAACTAAATCCCTCGCTAGCAAGCAAACCGACCGGCTGGGAGCCCAAACCAGCCAGTCGTCGAGGTAGGCCAACACCTGAACACCTAAGAAACGCAAACTGTCCACCACGACCCGCGTAAGGCACGTGAACATGCGAGGTGACAGGTTCAACCCGAACGGGAGACAACGAGGTTGGGAGCCTCCATTTTGGTGAGGGAGGTGCGTCGTCTGCACGACTTATGTTGTTTACTGGTGGCCACTATGGTCTTTGGCCACCATACCAGCTTATTTGTACAGGTATGGTGAATAAAACAGGTAGATACTTATACAGTAGTAACTCGCCTTACAAGCGCCCCTGGTTACGAGTTTTTCGGGCTATGAGCAGGATTTGCTCGGAAAATTTGTATCGGGATACGAGGGTTGCCTCAGGTTACGAGTTTGTTGATACGCATACGGGCCGACCTAGCGCATGGTGGCACAGTGATCGCCGCTCAGTTTGCCAGTGCCTCGTGCCCAGTGACTATCCTGCCTGAATTCTTCACAAGGATTTACAGTTTTTTGTCGGATTTTTGGCCATTTGAGCATAAAAGTTATTATATATCTCACCATGGGTCTCAAGAAAGCCAGTGGTAAGATTCAACCTAAGAAAATAGTTGTGAGTAGAGGATGTCCCTTCTTCATTAAGAAAATGTGTGAAGCATGGAAAGAACTGCAAAGTTTTGTTGAAAAAACTCACCCAGATAAAGCTGTAGCAGGCCATTGCATTGACCTGTTAAATGACAATGTGATGTCTTACTACAGACAAGTGTTAAAAGGTAGGGAAAAACAAGTGTCTTTAGACAGATTAGCAAGCAGACTAGCAAGCAGTGAGCCACAAGCAGGTCCTAGTGGTATGCAGGCAAAACGTGCCAGAGAGTGCACACCAGAGAAGTCTGCCTGATGTTATAATAGATGGGGACTCCCCTTCCAAACAGTAACACCTCTCCTCCTCCCCCCTCCTCACCAGCTTCCATGCAGCAGTCATCAGCAATGGTAAGTAATAACTTAAACATAGTTTTGTAGTGTAGATTTAGATGAATTAGGTATAAAATTTAGTTTGAAGTGAGGTTTTTGGGTAGTCAGGAACGGATTAATTCATTTCCCATTATTTCTTATGGGGAAATTAGCTTCGGGTTACGAGCTGTCTCCAGGAACGGATTAAACTCTTAAACCGAGGTACAACTGTATATGATGTGTGTATATAGCGTAATAACACCACAAGCAGTATTGTTGGAGGAGAAATATTAGTGCGTCTGGCCTTGAGGGCGACCACCACCAGCTGACTGTTAGAGTAGCTACGTCTTTGTGCCTTTACTCACCATACAAGTTTAGATGTACAGTTATGGTGAACAAAACATGTAAATACTTATATATAACATCTGTGTATAATGAATAAATGCAAAAACAGCATTGTGGGAGGAGAATGAGGGCGAGTGAGGTGTTGTTGAGGGAGGGAGTTGCAGCGAGTGGCAGGCTTGTGTGTGACGGTCACTCCTTGTTGCATTTTGACTCACAATACCAACTTAGTGGTTCGTTATGGTAAGCAAAAGATGCAGATACTTATGTATAACCTGTGTATATAGTGTAATAACAGCAAAAATATTTATTTATTGTTTTATGAACAAAATAATTGAATCACTAATATGCACACCATAATTTTGAGTACAGTGATGGTTCACACATTCTATTATATAAATATATCATAATTCACTGTATTGAATAATATTACTGCAAAAAACTAAGAAAAAATCAGAGACATTGAAACAATTAGGTAATAATATATTTGTGGCAACTGCCGCCTGACAGCTTGAGCGGAGTAGACCTCGTCTGGCGAAGGCTCTGTCAACTCCCCTTTTTTGCCAGACTATTGCGGCTAAAATATGCCACCTACGATTTTTGTTATTTTTTCCGTGATCAGGGAACAAAAATGAACACTTTTATAAGACGAAAGAATTTTTTGGATTTTTTTTTTTTTTTTGTGCCTGTGGGTGTTAAAGCCAGTTGGACCTCTAGCGGTTTGAGGGTTAAAGAAATGTCCGAGGTTCCCCATAATGACTTCTCCTGAAATCAGGCTTTCAACTGCTTCAACCTCATTTTCTTCCAGATTATAACGCATTGCATAATTTATTCCCAAAAAGACATGGTCACTTTTACCCAAGGAAGGAAGGTACTGTATGTCAAATACTATATCTCTTCATCTTTCCTGGTAAATATTAAATCCAGCATGGAGGGAACATCCCCTTCCCCATCCTCGTAGCTTGTTTAACATGTTGAAACATGAATGTTTCCAGGATGAGGTTTACTTTGTTTTAGAGATGAAGGGAAAAACTTGGCTCTTGAAAGAGAAAACTCTACTTGGCTCTTGGAGCCAAGTAGAACAAAGCAGTTGGTCCAGATGGAGTTTCACCATGTGTTCTGAGAGAATGTACACCTGAGATCAGCATTCCTCCCTGTGTACAGGAGTCGTGGCAGGTGTTTGGAAAAAGGTTAACATAGTTCCAATCTACAAAAGTGGCAGCAGGGAAGACCCCCCTCAATTATAGACCTGTATCATTGACAAGTGTAATAGACAAAATATTGGAAAAAATAATTAAAACTAACTGGGTGGAACACCTGAAGAGAAACAATATATTATCACACAGTACAGTTTTCGATCTGGAAGATCCTGTGTATCGAATTTACTCACTTTCTATGAACGAGCCACAGATATTTTACAAGAAAGAGATGGTTGGGTTGACTGCATCTATCTGGACCAAAAAAAGGCTTTTGACACAGTTCCCTATAAGAGGTTGTTCTGGAAACTAGAACATATTGGAGGGGTGGTAACAGGTAAGCTGCTAACATGGATGAAAAATTTTCTAACTGATAGAAAAATGAGGGCAGTAATCAGAGGCAATGTATCAGATTGGAGAAATGTCACAAGTGGAGTACCACAGGGTTCAGTTCTTGCACTGGTGATGTTCATTGTGTTACGGTAATGGTAATCTGCTTAGGCAAGGAGATCCTGCCTATTCCTTTACCACCTATTCAAAAACATATCTGCATACTCCAGTATAAGAAATCAACAACAACAACAATACGTGCTCAGAAGCCTGTGCCTATACAGGACACCACCCCCCTCTACCCTCTAGTACCCGAGACACCTGGACACCTGCTGTCTGGAGCCCAGCCCCACTCGCTGGTCGACCAGCCCTTAACTTCTTGTTTGAGACTGCCAGCGATAGTTACCTGCACATCAGCACCACCTACACTAGGTCTGGCCCGCATATATAGCAGCTCACCACCGGCCAAACCTCAGAATACACTTCGTGCTCTCAAAGCAGTAACATATACTGTTGCCTTCCCAGGAGACAGTAGATGCGTATAGCTTTTAGTATAATGTATTGTGTTACACCTCTCTTTGCCCTTAACCCTTAGACTGTGCAATACATCTATAGACGATGGGAGTAACTTTAACGATACTGCACAATACATCAATAAATGATCGAGTGTCTAGCGGTAGATTTTAAACGCCCTGCGTGGGATAGGGGTAGCCATCGTCGAGCCCCACCCAACAATAAACAAACGCCACCTGGGAAAAAAATCCAGCGTAGGCCGCCACTGTGTACAGGCCTCAGTTACCCAGCAGATATCATGGCGAGCACATCACGTTCCACCGACTGACCCCGCTCAACGAAGCATTCATGGCGACCGCTGACCAAGGATGAAATTAATAAGAATTTTCCGGGATGGTGATGAATTTTATATTGACGACTCCGACATGGATCATGACTACACATAGCCCTCAGATGTGGATACGACCAACGATGAGAGTGAACATGCTGGTTCCACAAGGGCTAGGCCTAGCATCTCACTCATGCCTCCTTGCCCTCACTCGACCCCACTTCGTGCAAGACCACACAGTTCATGTGCTACTTTGCAAGATATTGATGTTTTGGTCGATGAGTCTGAGGAAGGTGAATCATTTTCTGGTTTCAGTGACTTAGAATCGAAAAATAGTTTCAGGGCCGCTAGTGCCAGTGGAGTGTGTGGTGTTGCCAAGCAACATTTTGTCGCGTCAGCAGCATCTGGCCCAGCCATGTGGTACCACATGGGACCATATGGGGACACTGATGAACAAAGACCCTCAACATCAAGTAATTTTCCGTCACCGTCCCTGCCCGCCCCTACTGTTGCTAGGCCAGTTTCAGCTCCTGGTCTATCTATGGTTTCCTCACATTGGTGCCGCTATTGCCTCTCGAAAGACACCAGGTGTTTTTGTGTGGAGTAAAGGGACAGATTTTGTTCCACAAATTCCTGTCTTTGATAATTCAGATGTTGAGATTACAGACCTTTTCCCTGATACAAGTCTCGATATGTGTGAAATGAACTACTTTACCGCATATTTTGATGAGCTGCTCATGGAATATATATATTCTTTTATTTATATATACAAGAGTTCTTGCATTCTTGTACAGCCACTAGTACGCGTAGAGTTTTGTGCAAGTCCTTAATCCTATGTTCCCTGGAATACGACCCCCGCGAAGAATCGTTTTTACAACCAAGTACCCATTTTACCATTGAGTTAAACAGAGGCTACAGTTCAGGATTTGCGCCCAGTAAATCCTCCCCGGCCAGGATACGTACCCAGGACAAAGCGCTCGCGAAACGCCAGGCGAGCATCTTAACCACTACGCTACGGAGACTGGTGCAAAACTGTTCAGGAAACGAACAAATACGTGACTGATCTCATTCATGAGGAATTATCCGATGTTTCACATTTACAGCGATGGAAAGATACAACTTTAGGTGAAATGTATGTTTTTGGCACTGTGTATGTTGATGAAACATTATGTCAAACACGTACTCGACCATTATTGGAGCAAAGACCATACTGTTTGAACACCAATGTTCAGCAAAAATATGTCTCGAGACAGATTTTCGATAATCCTCAGGTGTCTTCATTTTGCAGTCTGGAAGATGATAGACTTTGGAAGGTAAGGCACATCCTGAATGAACTTAATGGAAAGTACAGGGATTTCTACATACCAGCTCAGAAGCTGGTGATTGACGAATCCCTTGTGCTTTTCAAAGGACGTCTTGCCTTCAAGCAGTATATTCCCTCCAAATGCCACCGATTTGGAATGAAATTCTTTGTACTCTGTGACTGTGAAACAGGAATTGTGTTACACATGATAATGTATACAGGTACAAATGTAGACATTCCTGCTAATGACCAACATGGCTTCTCAGGTAGTGTGAAGTCACTGCTTGCACCATATCTGAACAAAGGCCACACATTATACACAGATAACTATTATACCAGTCCCTTGCTAACTAGGTTCTTGATTGATAATAGAACTGGAGTGTGTAGCACAGTGAAGGCAAAACGAAGGGAAATGCCAGTGTTTCACACTGCTATGCAGGTTGGTGATTGTGAGCTAAGAAAAACTGGTGCAATGCCTTCAGATGCAGTGGAAAGACAGGCGTGAAGTGAACATGTTGACCACCGTTCACTATGGTCTATTGTGTCTTGGACTATAATATCAACATGCGTTTGGTGGATAAATGTGATATGATGGTGGGGGCAGTGGAGTGTGCACGGAAAACAGTGAAGTACCCGATTGATACCTGGTTGATGGGGTTCCGGGCTTGACCCCATCAAGCCCGGCCCGAGGCCAGACTTGACTTGTGGGAGTTTGATCCACCAGGCTGTTGCTTGGAGCGGCCCGCAGGCCCACATACCCACCACAGCCCGGTTGGTCCGGCACACCTTGAAGGAAACAATGTAGTTTCCTCTTGAAGATGTCCACGGTTGTTCCTGTAATATTTCTGATGCTCGCTGGTAGGACGTTGAACAACCGTGGACCTCTGATGGTCATACAGTGTTCTCTGATTGTGCCTATGGCGCCTCTGCTCTTCACTGGTTCTATTCTGCATTTTCTTCCATGTCGTTCACTCCAGTACGTTGTTATTTTACTGTGCAGATTTGGGACCTGTCCCTCCAGTATTTTCTATGTGCATATTATGTGGTATCTCTCTCGTCTCCTTTCTAGTGAGTGCTGATTTTTGTATCATCTGCAAAGGATGACACGAAGCTGTGACTTGTGTTTTTGTCTATATCTGATATGAGAATGAGGAACAGCAGTGGTGCAAGGACTGTACCTTGAGGTACAGAGCTTTTAACTGCGCTCGGACTTGATTTTACTTGATTGACTGTTACTCTTTGTGTTCTGTTCGACAGGAAATTGAGTATCCAGCATCCTACTTTAACAATTATACCCACTGACCTCATTTTGTGTGCAATCACTCCATGGTCACATTTGTCGAATACCTTTGCAAAATCTGTGTATACGACATCTGCATTATGTTTTTCCTCTAATGCCTCAGTGATTTTGTCATAGTGGTCAAGTAGCTGTGAGAGGCATGATCTTCCTGCTCTAAATTCATGTTGGCCTGGATTGTGGAGGTCATTGGCTTCTATGAATCTAGTGACCCGACTCCTGATCACTCTCTCAAATACTTTTATTATGTGGGACGTTAGTGCAACTGGTCTATAATTCTTTGCCAATGCTTTGCTACCACCCTTGTGTAGAGGGGCAATGTCTGCTGCTTTAAGCGCATCTGGTATCTCCCCTGTGTCCAAGCTCTTCCTCCACACTATACTGAGTGCCTGTGCTACTGGCACTTTGCATTTCTTTATAAATATTCAATTCCATGAGTCTGGACCCAGGGCTGAATGCATGGGCATATTGTCAATTTCTCTTTCAAAATCTGCCACGCTCGTGTTGATATCAGTTATATTTACAGGTGTTTGAGTATCATTCATAAAGAAAATCTCCGAATCTTCCACTTTCATGCTGAGTATCGGAGTGCTAAACATGTCTTCATACTGCTTTTTTAGGATTTCACTAATTTCTTTGTCATCCTCAGTGTATGAACCTTCACTAATACGAATAGGTCCAATACTGACAGTGGTTTTCGCTTTTGATTTAGCATATATGAAGAAATATTTTGGGTTTTTCTTTATTTCTTGAATTGCTTTCTGTTCTAGTTGCCTTTCTTCAGTCTGATAGGAATGCTTCAGTCTCTGTTCAATTTCTTCAATCTCCCTGTTTAAATTATTTCTTCTTTGTATGGAGAATCGTGTCTGCTTGGACCAAGTGGACCAAGAAAATGTTTTTCCACCTTGTTGACGTAACAGTGCTGAACAGTTACAATATGTATCTTGTCAAAACAGGCAGTAAACGAAACTTCCATGCATTCAGTTTACTGTACTGACACAATTACAAGAAAAGTTTAGCAAAGCAATTCCTGGCATACAGAGGCCCATTCTGAACTTAGTATTGTGCCATGCTCTCACACCCAGGCTCACTTTCAAGGATGCCTTTGTCACACACATTGTAAGGTATTTTCCACCAACTGGAAAGCATGCAGTAGGCCAGCATGAGTGTATTGTATGCATGACAACAACAAAAAGGGAACAGAAACGTAAATTGGTGATGACTTGGTGCACAACGTGTCAGGTCCCTCTGTGCTATGTCAAATGTTTTGACGAGTATCACAGTCTTGATGACTTCTAAATGTCCAAGACTGGTGCAAAAACATGCAAATACAGAATAAGTGAGTAAATAGTGAAAACAATTCATGATAAAGTGTATATTTACTGAAAAATAAGACAGTTTTGTGCAAATACTTATATGTGGACACTAATATGTGGAAACAATATACATTTAGAAGAGTTGTATTATAATAAAACATCAAGTGAGAACATATTGAACCACACCAGTGAAAAAAATGGTTGTAAAATACGCCATTGATACTTTAAATAATACCGCGAAAATAAATTCGCAGCAACTCTGGCTCCTCCGCCGCACCTGACTCAGCCCGGGCGCACCACGTTCCAGCAAAGATGATCCGTGATGTCATCAGCCAACTTCTTGGCTCATTTGTCATTGGAAAGTACATACAATAATTTTTTTTTTTTTTTTTTCCCATGCTCAGGGAACAAAAATAAAGACATTAATAATAAAAAAATATTCTGGAAGTGGCAGCCAGTGGCGGGCTGCCACTGCCTGCCATTGCCACTCAGCATACCAACTTAGTGGTTCGTTATGGTGAACACGAATGTAGATACTTATATATAGCGTCTGTATATAGTGAATAAAAGCAAAAACAGTATTGTGGGAGGAGAATGTGGGTGAGTCAGGTGACTTGAGGGAGGGCGCGAGTGGCTGGCTGGTACACAGCAGTCACTCCTCGTTACTTTTTGACTCATAATAGCAACTTAGTGGTTCGTCATGGTGAACAAAACATGCAGATACTTATATATAACCTGTGTATATAATGTAATAACTGACAAAGTATTTGTTCGCTGATTGATGAACATAATTGAATCAACAATATGCACACCATATTTTTGAGTACAGTGATGATTCACTCATTTTATTATATAAATATATCACACTACACACTATTGAATAATATTACAGCAAAAAAACTACGAAAAATCAATCAGAGACATTGAAATAATTAGGTAATTATCTCTTTGTGGCAACTCCGGCCTGACAGCTTGCGATCAACAGACCGCCTGGGACGCATGCTGAGTCAGCGCCTGTTTTTTGCCAGACTTCCCCGCCCTATAGCGGCAATATATGCCACTTACGATTTTTTTATTATTTTTCCCATGATCAGTGAACACAAATTAACAGATTAGCAAGAATTTTTTTTTTTTTCAAAATTACATGTGCCTGTGGGGAACAAAGGAACAAATATCCCTAGCATGTTAAGGGTTAATATTTTTCATTCTTTTGGAATTTACCCGCAGTTCTGATAAAGAGATCTAGGGTGGTTCTAGATAAAAACTATCACCTGAGGATCACATAAAGAATGCTGAGCGAGGAGCCTATGCTACGCTTTCTAACTTAAGAATTGCTTTTAAATACATGGATGGCAAGATACTAAAGAATTTGTTCACGACTTTTGTTAGGCCAAAGAGAGAATATGCAGCGGTTGTATGGTGCCCATATCTTAAGAAGCACATCAACAAACTGGAAAAGGTGCAAAGACATGCCATTAAGCGGCTTCCAGAAATGAAGGATAAGAGCTATGAGGAGAGGTTAGATGCTTTAAATATGCCAAAACTTGAAGATAGAAGAAAAAGAGGCGATATGATCACTACGTCCAAAATAGTAACAGCGTAGTGATCGATAAATTTGATAAGAATAATCGATAAAATCTATAAAACTGATAAGGAAGAATTCCAGAGACCTGCGTCCTCTTCAAGAACAAGAGGACACAGACTCAAGCTAAGGAAACAAGGGTGCCACAAAACATTAGAAAATTTTCTTCTGCAGAGTGGTAGACGGTTGGAACAAGCCAAGTGAGATGGTGGTGGAGGCCAAAACTGTCAGTAGTTTCAAAGCGTTATACGTCAAAGAGTGCTGGGAAGACGGGACACCACGGGCATAGCCCTCATCCTGTAATTACACTTAGGTAATTACCAATTGATTGACAGTTGGGAGGTAGGGACCAAAGAGCTTAAGCTCAACCCCTGCCAGCACAATTAGGCGAGTACAACTAGGTGAGGACGCGTGCACGCACACTGCAGAGGACGCGTGCACGCACACTGCAGAGGACGCGTGCACGCACACTGCAGAGGACGCGTGCACGCACACTGCAGAGGACGCGTGCACGCACACTGCAGAGGACGCGTGCATGCACACTGCAGAGGACGCGTGCACGCACACTGCAGAGGACGCGTGCACGCACACTGCAGAGGACGCGTGCACGCACACTGCAGAGGACGCGTGCACGCACAATGCAGAGGACGCGTGCACGCACAATGCAGAGGACGCGTGCACGCACACTGCAGAGGACGCGTGCACGCACACTGCAGAGGACGCGTGCACGCACACTGCAGAGGACGCGTGCACGCACACTGCAGAGGACGCGTGCACGCACACTGCAGAGGACGCGTGCACGCACACTGCAGAGGACGCGTGCACGCACACTGCAGAGGACACCTGCACGCACACTGCAGAGGATACCCGCACACACACTGCAGAGGACACCCGCACACACACTGCAGAGGACACCCGCACACACACACTGCAGAGGACACCCGCACACACACACTGCAGAGGACACCCACACACACACACACACTGCAGAGGACACCCACACACACACTGCAGAGGACACCCCCACACACACACACACACACACACACTACAGAGGACACCCGCACACACACTGCAGAGGACACCCACTGAAGCGGACACCCGCGCACACACACTGCAGAGGACACCCGCACACACACTGCAGAGGACACCCGCACACACACACACTGCAGAGGACACCTGCACACACACACTGCAGAGGACACCTGCACTCACACACTGCAGAGGACACCCGCACACACACACTGCAGAGGACACCCGCGCACACACACTGCAGAGGACACCCGCACACACACACTGCAGAGGACACCCGCACACACACACACACTGCAGAGGACACCCGCACACACACACTGCAGAGGACACCCGCACACACACACTGCAGAGGACACCCGCACACACACACTGCAGAGGACACCCCCCCACACACACACTGCAGAGGACACCCCCCCACACACACACACATCTCCTGCAGCACATATCAAGCGGATAACATCAGCGGCATATGCCAGGCTGGCCAACATACGAACGGCATTCAGAAACTTGTGTAAAGAATCATTCAGAACTTTGTATACCACATATGTCAGGCCAATCCTGGAGTATGCAGCCCCAGCATGGAGTCCATATCTAGTCAAGGATAAGACTAAACTGGAAAAGGTTCAAAGGTTTGCCACCAGACTAGTACCCGAGCTGAGAGGTATGAGCTACGAGGAGAGACTACGGGAATTAAACCTCACTTCGCTGGAAGACAGAAGAGTTAGGGGGGACATGATCACCACATTCAAGATTCTGAAGGGAATTGATAGGGTAGATAAAGGCAGTCTATTTAACACAAGGGGAACACGCACAAGGGGACACAGGTGGAAACTGAGTGCCCAAATGAGCCACAGAGATATTAGAAAGAACTTTTTTAGTGTCAGAGTGGTTGACAAATGGAATGCATTAGGGGGTGATGTGGTGGAGGCTGACTCCATACACATTTTCAAGTGTAGATATGATAGAGCCCAATAGGCTCAGGAATCTGTACACCTGTTGATTGACGGTGGAGAGGCGGGACCAAAGAGCCAGAGCTCAACCCCCGCAAACACAACTAGGTGAGAACACACACACTACAGAGGACACGCCCACACACTACAGAGGACAAACCCACACACTGCAGAGGACACACACGCGGCAATGCTCACATGCCAGGATTTATTCTACCCAGCACCTCCACATAAATTAAAACTCTGTCCTTATAAAATAATACCAAAGGCTTTATACACATTTCATTTACATCACTGTTTGTCATATAAAAACAGTGGTCATGTATCAAAAGCCACACACAAAAAACTAAACTTTTCATTATGAGGTACGAGCTGCATTCAGAGTGCTGCGGGTGGTAGGGAACCTATACTAACCGAATGCTCTCCTTCAACTACTGGCTCCTCACCCAACACGACCACAGCTAGATGAGTCCGGGGTGAGCGAGAGAGGACTGGATAAGATGCTGGTTAACATAGAAGGGGCAGCTGGGGTCTGGGCAAGGAAGCAACAGTCGGTTGGTGTGGAGAAAAGATAATCGGGATGAAGGTGGGGATAAGATAGCCGGAATGAAGGTGGGGGAAAGATAGCCGGAATGAAGGTGGGGGAAAGATAGCCGGAATGAAGGTGGGGAAAAGATAGCCGGAATGAAGGTGGGGGAAAGATAGCCGGAATGAAGGTGGGGGAAAGATAGCCGGAATGAAGGTGGGAGAAAGATAGCTGTAATGAAGGTGGGGGAAAGATAGCCGGGATGAAGGTGGGGAAAAGATAGCCGGGATGAAGGTGGGGGAAAGATAGCCGGAATGAAGGTGGGGGAAAGATAGCCGGAATGAAGGTGGGGGAAAGATAGCCGGAATGAAGGTGGGGAAAAGATAGCCGGAATGAAGGTGGGGGAAAGATAGCCGGAATGAAGGTGAGGGAAAGATAGCCGGAATGAAGGTGGGGGAAAGATAGCCGGAATGAAGGTGGGGGAAAGATAGCCGGAATGAAGGTGGGGGAAAGATAGCCGGGATGAAGGTGGGGGAAAGATAGCCGGAATGAAGGTGGGGGAAAGATAGCCGGAATGAAGGTGGGAGAAAGATAGCTGTAATGAAGGTGGGGGAAAGATAGCCGGGATGAAGGTGGGGAAAAGATAGCCGGGATGAAGGTGGGGGAAAGATAGCCGGGATGAAGGTGGGGAAAGGAACTGCCGGGATGAAGGTGGGGGAGCAACTACTGGAGTGAAGGTGGGGGGGGGAGGAATTACTGGAGTGAAGGTGGGGGAGGAACTACTGGAGTGAAGGTGGGGGAGCAACTACTGGAGTGAAGGTGGGGGGGGGGGGAATTACTGGAGTGAAGGTGGGGGAGGAACTACTGGAGTGAAGGTGGGGGGGGGGGGAATTACTGGAGTGAAGGTGGGGGGGGGGAATTACTGGAGTGAAGGTGGGGGAGGAACTACTGGAGTGAAGGTGGGGGGGGAATTACTGGAGTGAAGGTGGGGGAGCAACTACTGGAGTGAAGGTGGGGGAGGAACTACTGGAGTGAAAGTGGGGGGGGAATTACTGGAGTGAAGGTGGGGGGGGGGGGAATTACTGGAGTGAAGGTGGGGGAGGAACTACTGGAGTGAAGGTGGAGGAGGAACTACTGGAGTGAAGGTGGGGGGGGGAGCAACTACTGGAGTGAAGGTGGAGGAGGAACTACTGGAGTGAAAGTGGGGGGGGAGCAACTACTGGAGTGAAGGTGGGGGAGGAACTACTGGAGTGAAGGTGGGGGAGGAAC